CTTTGCCAAGGGCTTGCCACCAAAGCTCATGGCTTTGGTGGCACAAAATCCAGACTTGGCAGAAGCCTTTCAGCAGGATCCTGAGAGGATCATGAGCCTACTTGCGCTCATGCAGGACTAGGCAATTTCATGAATTTTTCTATTGGGGGGGGCCCTGTTTGCACACGGCTTCATTCCCAAAAAATTGTTTTAGAATGCCAACTGACCGTCAGCCTTGTCTTAGTAGAGGAATGGTCACAAGCTTGAAGCCCCTGCAATCGCCAGGGTAGACTCGCAAGAATGGGCAAAGTGTAGTGTAGACTGCCTTTTGAACGCCCTCGGACTCGCTTATTGTAGAGGAAGGAAAGGAAAGGACATGATAACAAGATGTCGTCAGGCTAGGACTGGGCTAGGGCAACTAGCACCTTTTGATTGTTTTTCATTGGGGCCTAAAGCTACCAGCACCCGAAGTAGATGACAAGAAGTAGCACATACACAGTTGATGACAGTTGCCTGATGGGCCTTAAGACGTCTTACGTCCGGATTTCGCCCCACCGGCGCTTGGTGCAGCGTCGCTCAGGTCGCCACGCCCGCGGCGCGCGGCGAAAAGCACCGCAAAGGCGACCGTGCTGACGTTGTTTATGGGAAAGGGCCTCGCCGGTGGCGCTGCGATGCGCTTCTCTACTGCGGGACTAGACCTTGCACATTAAAAGATCTGAGAGATTCAATGCGGCAAGACCCATATAGTAAGTGCACGAGAGATGGCACATGATGGAGTCCCCAGAACAGTGACAATTATTAAGCAGTCAGTGTAAGACAATCGATGCGCTGGCTTGGCCCTTCGTCTAATTTTGGCTACGTGTGTGTGTGTGTGTGTGTGTGTTTTTTCTTTTGTAAGACTTGTTTGCTGGCAGGAGTCTGCGATTGGCGGGCAAGAAGACGCCGAAAAGGAGGCCGATAACTCTTCAGAGGATTTTGCGACGTTTGTCCGCGACGTTGTGTTGCGGCTTGTCACAATGTTGTGTCCTTTGGGCTGTATGTCGATGTGACTCTTTCACTGAGTGGACATCCATGGGACCAGAGCAGTTTCACGACTTCAGGGCAAGTCTGCTAAGCCCTCGAAGGCAAAATCGAAGCAAAGCTGCAAGATGTAAGGGATCGCTTTTTTTCACCCCAATTGAGACACCTCCATCTACCTACCTTCCTCTATGTATATATATATATATATATGGTCGAGTGCAGTTGCACTTTGCTGCTTGTCTCCGAGGAAGGGCCTGTTGGCGAAGGCAAAGGCGAAAGCAAAAGCACACGCAAAGGCCAAAGCGAAGGCGAAGGCAAAGGCGAAAGCAAGAGAGCAAGCCGAAGCAAAGGCGCCAAAGACCGCTAAAGCCAAGGCGAAAGGAGAGGAAGCTGAGGCAAAGGTGCCAAAGACCGCCAAGGCAAAGGCACAAACCAAAGATAAAGCTGAAGCGCAGCCATCGAAGACTGCAAAGATCAAGGTGTGCCCACCGTGCTGCCCAGTTTCCCTTCATTCATCAATCATTGAGGTCAAAGAGTTGTCAGAGGGGGCAGGCAGTGTGTTCAGAGGGCGTTTGATTTGCACCAGTTGAGTGGGGTTGCATTTGGGTTTCGGCTGCATTTTGGTTGGTCTTCTCTTTCAGGGACTCTCACAAATGAGCAGAAGCGGGTGACCAGAAGACTGTGAATGCATTGCTGGTATGTTGATTGGTTCGCCGACTTCCGGCAGGCATCGCCGAATGCAAAGGTGGAAGCTGAGACTCTGACTTCTGCAGAGCCCTGGACAGAGAATTCAGCTACAACTAGAGACTGGCCTGGTAGGCCTGGTAGGCTTGCCTCCTAGCTTGACATAAAGCCGGCAATTTTTCTAAGGGCATGTTTAGATGTTCCCTGAAATCTTGGAGAATGTCCGAAAGAGAGCTGTTTACTGTGTAACATTGCGCACCCATGTCGCACTTCTTCAGCACTGAACGAACCTCACGTGAGGCTGAGCAGCAACCAGTTCCCACAGCAGGGATCAGCCAAGAGGTGAGGTAAGCATTGTGTTTTCACAGGTGATCAAGCTTGAAACTCTGAAACAAGTTCATTCAATGTGTCAATGGCTTCCCTTTTCAATCATATGATATCATCCGTGTCATTTGTTCTTGCCGCTGGTGTGCTGATTGACTTCCCTTCCCAACGAACTTTTATCCGAAAAGAGACCTATACAGGTTGCTCCCTGGACACTTGCATCATAAATATCTGAAGAAAGGACGTTTCAAAACTGAATCATCCCCTGATTCATGAAAGAACATCTCGATCTTCAGATGAAAGAATTCCATGCTCACACATCCCCTGCCCACCCTTCACATCCTCACACCAGCCCACGTGACATCCTTGCAGTCTATTTCTTGCAGAGGTGCTGGCTGCTGCTGAGAGCTGTGGCTTGAAAACGGCTTTGATGAACCTCTTTGCACGTCCAGAGGTGGCCACTGGGCACCGTAGCGGCCGTAGCGGCCACGCCCAAACGACCGGAAAGGTACGTCGCCACAAAGGTTTGGACAGATTTGGGTTAATGAAGAGTGGAGAAGGTTGAGGTGATTTTGAGGGTGAGTTGCAGCTTCTTCTGTCAAGCTTAAGGAAAGGTTGAAGCTGGACGGCAACGTCTTGTTGTTGCTTGGTTTGAGTGAGTGCACTTGACTTTGCTCGACACCTTGCTTTCCACATCGGAACTTAGTAACCTTAGTAGGTGGTCAATGCGAAGAAGGAACAAGTTGAGACGAGGAGAGCAGGAGTAAAGCGAACATGCTGAGACATTTGCCGGCGTACTTTTCCAAGGGAGACCTTGAAAGACTGCAACGGCTTGGTCAACAAGGCCAAAGCGCGCCTACTGGAGACCGGTGCCTTTTATGAATCGAATGGAAGAACCCATTAATATGCGGAGAATATTGAAGAATCGATGAGAATAGGCATAGGGCCAGGAGTCAGAGTTGCTTCTCTTTCGGGTGGTGTTTGGACGCTAAAAACCATGGAGTTTGCACTTGTAGACCGCTTGTTGGGGCACCGAGGTCCGTCAACACCGCCGAAAAGCCAAAGCGCAGATCCAAAGATCGAGACACCTGAGAAGGCAAACCTGGTAGAGGTCAATGTCAAAGCCAATGCCTGTACTTAATAGCGTCAGTAAAGTAAAGTCTAGGAGTTTATCTATATTATTTGTAGGAGGTTCGTTCAAAACTTCAGTTCACAATCAGAACTGAGCAGGGCATGGGCGGCTCTTGGCGGCTCTTGTGGTCTAATTTTGTGGTTTAATGCGCTGATGACCACAGGCCGCCAAGACGCTAAGTGAGATGAAGGTACGGCTTCTGCCTGACTTGGGAACTTGGGGTGGATGGGCAGTTTGGCACCTAGCCTTTGGAGCACATTGTCCAAGGTCAGAATGTAGGACAGGTGTAAAATAATAAGTGCATCTATGATTATGATCATCTATGATTGAAAAAATGGTCAATGATTTGATGCATGTGGTATGCTTTGATATGCTTGGCCTTGTTCAGGACGTTCTGGGTGTTCAAAGCCTTCACTGTCAGGCAGAAGGCCCACCACAGCCAATGGAGATTCAGACTCCGGTGGAGGCCTTGTTCGAGTCCGAGGGTTTGAGCTGCGCCAATTGGACCAGAGCAAAACGTGGCACACAAACATTACATCCCAGATTGCATTTATCCACAAGACTGCACAAAATCAACCAATCAATTGGCTATATATAACATTTGTTCAACATTGGTAGCCTTGGTGTCCAACATTCCCAACATGCGCATTGTGCTCTTGTAAGCTGTGCACTTTGGTAGCCCGCTCCTTTTTATATATATCTCTCTCTCTCTCTCGCATTCAATTCTATGTTCCTCCAGGCTCCCAAAGAAGCTCCCACTTCGCTCCTGGAGAAAGACTTCCCTCCAGCGATCAGTCCACAGGCGTCGACAGCTATTTTCGCCAGATTTTTTTTTGCGGCTGAGTTTTCGACAGGTCTTCGAAGCCAAGGAAGTTCAGACGGAGAAACCAAAGGCCAAGCCACTCTGTTGTTGGCACAGATTGTGAAAAACATTGAAAAACATATTGGACATGATTGGACTGTATGGAAAGGCTGAATAAAGGTGGTCAATGAGTCAATGCTATTGGTTCGCTTTGTTATTGATTTATGATGAGTTTGGTGTAATTATATAATTATGACTTGATCCTGCGTCGCGCACCATTTAAGTGTTGCGCGCAGACAGGTGTACCACACGCTTGTTGACATTCCATCCCTGCCTGAGACAGGTGGTAGATGCGAACTGCTGTCCAAACTGCTTCTTGTCCGCAGTTGGACTTTGGCTGGCGCATACTGCTGCCGAAGGTTTGTTCACCCAAATCAGCTTATAAGAGCCGTTTGGTGGTGTCGCGTAAATATAATTCCTGTGCTGTCCACTTGGAGGGTGGTGGAGAGAAGCAGGTGATTCCCCCTACACAGACGGCCTTTTCTGCCGGTGCTGTGGCATGGCGCGGCGGAAGGAGGCACGACCCTGATGTACTGTGTAGTATTTTACATTTGGTTTAGGAGGCTGTGTCGCCTTTGTTTTGCAAGTTGGTGTTATTTAACACACTGCCGACACAGCCCGAGATATCATCGGGAAATGACTCAGAGGCATGCATTTATGTTCTTTATCCTCGGATATGTTTGCATGTAGCGGTGTGTAATCAGCCGAGAGCACTAAGCCCTCCTCGATCTACATGGCTGAAATATGTTTGGGCGTGAGAGGCAAGGACGGCCTCAACGCATGCGTCAGCAATTGCAGCAAGGGTGCAGGCAGAGCTGAATTGTTAATTATGATAATTATGTAATTAATTGTAATTAATGTACTTCTGCCGTCAGTTCTTCCCTGTCAGATCTTGTCAGCGACCGGGTTGGAAGTGTTCGTGACACACATGTTTTGAATTTCCGATCCTCAAGTGAAGCCAGTGATTAGAGCTCGTGCTCGTGGCTTTAGCGTCTCGCTATGGCAGTGACAGCAATGCGCTCCGTGGCTGCTGCCATGCGCCCACGAGCCTTGCGCCGCGCCCGCGGCATCACTGTGGAAGCCATGAGGCTCAACACTCCTTTAAAGGACGGACGGAGTTTGGCTCCTGATTTCACCAATCCGGTTTCTGCAGTGCATAAAGGAACTTGCTCTGAGTTGAGACCGTTCCATGCCCATATGCGATAGGAGATGGATCCAGAAATCCACAACATCATTGAGGCTGAGAAGGATAGGCACCTCCGAGAGGAGTTAAGACTGCATCCGAAGCGAGCCGTGACGAGCACGATTCTCCCCGAAACTCAAAACTGTCTCCGCAGAATATTGGAGGCGCACGGCAACTCAAAGGCAGGAATTTGACGAATTTAATTCGCCTGCAGGGCCACAACTTGGAGATTAGAGCCCATGAATGTCTTGTTTTTGAGTTACAAATTCCATGTTCGACCTAGATTTCTAGTGTACCTCCAGGAGCCACACGGAGGCCGAAGCCAGATGTGACGTTGAAAAATGGCAGGGGCAGGGTACTTTGGGCAAAGCTTGAGTTTCCACCAAGCCATTTCTGAAAAAGTTCAACAAACCAACCAACCCCGGACCAACCCCTACCTTACCTGACGTTGATTTTTATGCAACCTTGGCGTTTGGCTGGGTTTGCTTGGGGTTTTGATGCTCAGGCAACGGCGCTGCGTGAACCTCATCGCCTCTGAGAACTTTGCACCATTGCCTGTTTTGGAAGCGGTTGGCTCGGTCATGGTGAACAAGTACTCCGAAGGCTATCCAGGAGTTTTAGCAAAAAAGTAGAGATGACGATCTTTTTCATGGGTACTGTAGACTTGAGTTGTCCGCTACACCTACAGACCACACCATCAACACCGACACTTCGGGCAAGACCTTGCATCGTGTCACCGAACGACCACGGGACGAAATGTGGCGAATTGACGTGTCGCACGTTTCTTTGGCTCTTCTTCTCGCGGTGCAGGAGCCCGCTACTACGGTGGGAATGAGTTCATTGATCAGGCTGAACGACTTTGCCAGCAAAGGGCTTTAGAAGCCTGCAGATTGGACCCGAAGGACCTGAAGAGACCATATGGGAAAGAGAGCGAAACACCGCGGTGATCTGCACCAGTCAGATCACATTGACTTTGCTTCAAAGAAGTTTGGGTTGCAAACTTGCTGATAGACACCTATGGATCTATCAGAAGAGAATGGCAGAATAGCACTTTGCAAAACTCAGATGCACCGTTAGACATATAGGCCAGAGGTTCAAGAAATCACACTTTCAGATGCTTTCACCGTGTTTCCTCTTGTGTCCTGGGTCCAGCCGACCAGGACTGGGGCGTGAATGTCCAGTCGTTGAGCGGCTCACCAGCCAATTTCCAGGTCTTCACCGCCTTGTGCGATGTTCATGATCGGATCATGGGCCTGGACCTTCCCCATGGTGGCCATTTGTCCCACGGCTACCAGACAGACACCAAGAAGATTTCCATGGTCTCCAAATACTTTGAGTCCATTCCATATCGGCTCAATGAAGACACTGGCCTCATTGATTATGATGAATGCGAGAAGTTTGCGCTCCGCATCCGTCCCAAGATTTTGATTGCTGGCACTAGCGCCTACTCTCGGCTGATTGACTACAGCCGGATGCGACAGATCGCTGACAAGTGTGGAGCATACCTTTTGGCCGATATGGCTCACATCTCTGGCCTTGTAGTTGGTGGTGGCATCCCATCTCCTTTTGAGCTCCTTGGCAGAGCGATTTCGCCGGGGGGTTCTATTCCCTTTAAGCGCCTAGCGGACAAGCGACCGAGGTGGTTTTCACAGCACTAGCAGAATGAGGAGAAGTCACATGAAGTCACAGCAAATTGGTTCAACTTGTCACTTCGAAGTTCGAGAGGTTCTTTTTGCGCTGCTTAATTAAGGGGAGAAATGTGTGTTATTCGTTGAAGTTACTTGAGATCCATGCTTGTGCATTTTGCGACGGAGAGTGCGCGAGGTATGCAGATGTGGTCACCACCACGACGCATAAGTCCCTGCGGGGCCCTCGTGGGGCTATGATTTTCTACCGAAAAGGGCAGCGCGGAACTGACAAGAGGCTTGCTTGAACACGGGGGCTGAAGGAAACAGCTGAGAGTGTAAGGACAGTGCGAAACTGACTCACACAGGTCTCAGGTTCGTATGCGGGGATGCCCAAACCACATTACCGATTTTACTGACTTGCTCCTTGTGTTGGGGAACACTTGAGTGCATACACTTGTACATGTTTCCTTCGCCCTGCCACAGACTGCAGCTTCTTCACCTGGATTTGGTGAAAAAGCGAAACACCCGCCGCACGCCCCTCGCCCGAGGAAGGGGAATGCGATCATGTATGACTTGGAGGATCGCATCAACGCGAGCGTGTTTCCGGGTCTTCAAGGCGGCCCCCACAATCAGAGCATTACCGCTTTGGCTGTCGCCTTGAAGCAAGCCACGCAGCCGGAGTTTGCCACCTACATCCAGCAGGTCATGAAGACCCTTGGCGAATTTGGTAGGTGGTCAAAACAAGACCCAGCTAGTCATATTAGTGGTTTGTGGAAGAGGTCCGTTCTCATGCGGCAGAAGCAGAGATGCCATGAGATGCCAGGAATGCCAAAGCCTTCGGTGATTCTTTGCAGAAATGCAACTTTAACTTGGTCTCTGGTGGTACAGCCCCTTGGACTGTTTTAAGCCCCTGCTTAGATACTGTCCGGCACCGTAGGCGAGAGTTTCAATGACCTTGTGGTTTGTCATTATTCGGTTGTTCAACGTCTGACACATAAGCGAACAGCAGCACAGGGTGGCAAACTTTCAGGACAACCACCTGCTGTTGATTGACCTGCGTTCAAAAGGCATCAATGGCTCGAAGGCGGAACTGGTTTGCGAACAGGCCTCAATTGTGCTGAACAAGATCCTTGGGTCGCACAGACAGAGGGTGTTCTGGGTTCTGTGGAGGTTTTCTAATTTAAGTATATACCCAGTCACTGCCACTGCACGTTGGATTCTGTTTCATGTGTGTGTGTGTCCTCCAGGAACACCATCCCCGGCGACAAGAGCGCCATGAACCCCAACGGCCTCCGCGTTGGTACTCCAGCCATGACTTCCAGAGGTTTGATGGAGGAAGCTCGGCGGGGCGACGGAAAGGGCGGAAGGGCTCGGTTTCCACAGCCCCGGAGGGCTCGGCGGGCACACACTGTCTATCGAAATGAAAGCAAGCCAACGCATACCTTTGTGACAGAGGAGGCATTTGTTTTGTTGCTTGGTGTGTTTGTATGGACACGGAATGGTGCAAGAGCTTTGGTTCGTTGATCCTTCAGCTTCTTTGCCAAAGGGTTTGTCAGAAGAACTGTTGATTGTACTACTCAGAGGTGAAATGGGGAGATAATGTGGTATGCAACGTTGCCCGATTGTTAGTGGATCGGGGAGGTGGAGTTGGAGATGGTTCGAGGATTCATTCAGTCTTGCTGAGGATGACTTCGCAAAGATTGGGGAGTTCATTGGGGGTGCCGTAGATGTGGCGGTCGCCGTGCAGAAGGAGTCTGTTCAATCCATGGTCACATGGTCATATTATGTCATATTGACACATGATGGTTGGCCGAGACGCATCAAATCACATCGAAACACTGAGGTGAGTTGCTGGTTTCCAGGTCCACCAGGTTTTCGGAAAAAAAACAACGCCACGTAGGAGAGCGGTCCGAAGTTGGTGGACTTCAAGCGAGTGCTGAAGGAGAGCCCTCCAGGCGGATGGAAGACACTTCTCAAGCCTCTAATGGATTGCATCATTGGAAACCGTCATTGGCATTGGCACTCTGCCCTGCCCAGAAGCAACTTGTTTCATTTTGTTCCCTTGCAATTCCGCTGTCAGTGGCCTCCTCCAGGCAAGCTTTTGGAGCTCAAGAGCCAAGTTGAAGAGTTTGCGAGTGCTTTCCCAACAGTTGGCGCATGAGCGGAAGGGGATGAAGACACGCATCCCTAGGTTCTGGAGAAAAGCCAGCGATGATTGATATGGTCCTTTCGGTGAATCAAGCGATGCACACGGCATGAAGACACGGCTATGTACACTCTTAGGACTTTCAATTTAACCTTTTGCCTTCACCAGGTCCATCCGCAATCTCTGATTTTCCCAGTAGCGGCTTGAGCCACGGGAGAGTTCCCGATGAATGGCTCAGCCTGATCCTCCACTGGGAGAAGGAACAAGTGACAAAAGGAGTGGTGAGTGCTCGATTGCCTTGGTCGAAGCTCCTAGGAGCATGTCACATCATGTCACTCTCTACGACAATGTAATTGGAAAAGACCGCAAGCGCAGCCACGAGCAGGCAAACCGTGAGCGTGCCCTGGATTCTCAGCAGCACTGGCATTGACGAATCGACTTCAGCACCAGCTTATTGCCGCATGCGCTACGCATTGCCTTGCTGCACACACAGAGGTATAACTTGATGATGAGTGATTACAAAGACCCATTGTGGGGCACCATAATGAAAGATAGGGAAGGTTCGATTTGCTGATCGGTCCCCAGAAAATCAGCAGTGGCGGTCTGAAAGAGAGAAGGGTCTACGGTATTCGTATTTGTTCATGTCTCGTGATGGCACACCGTAGTGTGACAGGTGAGTCTTGACTTCCGCCTTGCGGCCGAGGCTCGCAAAAGGCAACATGCTGAGCTCGGAGCTGCAGGAGCTTGATGCTGGAAGCTCAAGGCAGCGCAAGGAGAGAAGGACCCATAAGGACCCTTCGGTCTTCAAATCCCCTGGGACATTCTGCATTTCCGATGTGTGCATAAGGCACAGATCATTGGAGGTACCAGGTCAGTAGCCTAGATGTTGTACTGAGTGTTGTACTGTAACAAGCAATCACCGTACAGTTTAATTATCAAACATCAGTTAATCAAACAGTACCTAGCTCAATCACCAGTTTATCAAACATTTAGCAGTTAATTATCAATTGTGATGTCTAGACGTGCAACAGCATCCGGATTCAATCAGTGATGTGCGCCAGTGAAGAAGTCTCTCGACTCGACATTGGAACGATCTGAGGCTCTTCAGCAAACGTTTGGGCTTCAAGGTTCATTGAGCTAATTCCGGGGTATCCCTGCTGATGGCTAGCAATGGCCCGGGGAGCAGGGTGCAATCTCATCCGAGAACGGATGGAGTTGCAATGCAATGTCTTGGTGAAGAACTGATCAAGAAAACGCGAGGGGAAAATTACAAGCAGAGTGGCGGTGCGAAGCCAAGTCCCAAACAGATGCAAGAACCAAATGGCAAAAAGGGGCTTGTTGGACGAGAGACGAACGTCCTTCTCTGCTATATATCCGGCATGTAGGTAGCCTATTGGCTTTTGCACTGCAGCGCCGTGCAGGTGAAGCAAGCTCTGAAGCTGACACAATTTTCGAGCCTCATGCTCTATTCAACTCTTACGTACTTGAAGAGATGTGGCCTGGGGCAAAAAGATGCGAAAAGACATGCACTTATAAATTTACTAAGATAAATGCAAACGCCTGTGATACTCTCAAACAATTGCAGCACTCTTTTTACATTGCCAGATGCGATGCAGATCCATTTTTTTCATAGCATCTCATAAGAAGGTTCTTGTTGGTGGAAATGGCAAGGAAACTCTCTCTCTCCCTCTCTGTCAGTCCAAGACCGCCAAACGGTGCACAATGACACGCTTGCGGAGCGAGCACTGTTTATCCAAACGGTGGGAGATGGTGGGAGTAGCTGGGCCCTTTCGCAGGTCATTAAACATGGGAGCCAATTTCCCGCCAAGGGCTCAGAGATTGGCACAGAGGGGATCCTTACAAGTCTACTATAGTATTTGTAGAGTACAGAAATTTCTGGGAGTAGGGCAGAAGCGTGGTGGACTTTTTGGGGAGGGACAGAGAATCAAGCAAAAAATGAGCCAAGGAAATCAGCTGAATCCTGCCGCCTAGGTGTCCCCATGTGTGGCTTGTTTTCTTCCTCCCGCCTAGGTTTGCACAGACCCGCGGCATCTCTATGGCCTTGTCCATCGTTTAGACCGCTTCACTTCAGGAGATCCGTCCACAAAAGCATCGACAACACATGAAGCAAGCAAGCACGCCTTGAAATCGCCACCCAGCTAAGAGACTCTCAGATTTGCAGGGAAGATGCAGTTATCAAATTGGTCGGCACCTTTTGCACGTTAGCACCATTTGTTAGCTCAATTGGTCAGCTGCTTCCCGGCGGCGACGGCGCGTCTCAATGTGGTGCACTAGTCTTCGCCGTGCTCCAGGCGCTGTCATATGGGCAACCAGCTATGCGGGCCTGTTCTTGTCACAGCCGCGCACCAAGCATTGGATGTACAGTATTTGTCATTCTGCTTAGTCACATGTTCATTCTTGGTTTACTTTGCACAATCGCCAGACAAAATAGCGAGGAGTAGTGGACAGATAAAGACATGCAGCATGCACCTTTCAGGCTTCAGTTTGCCACACGGCGAGTGACGAAGATCTACTTGGCGCTTTGCCATGGACATCTCTTCCCTGACGTGCCTTGCTTCAATTCCCGGGCCTGCACGCCCTTGTGCCGCTTGCCTCCTGGACAGTTTATAGAATTTACGCAGTATATAAATGAAATGACTTTAAAGGTTTGTACTGACCCCGGATCCCCCAGCACAAGCCATCAGGTTCTGTCGTTCATACAAGAAGGGGCTTATCCAAATTGGCCAGAAGGCATCATTGAGGCATCCCAAAAGACATTGTACAAAAGAGCGAAGACCTTTCGGGTGCATAGTGCAGTTACATAGCCCCCCTTTGGCTCAAAATGCATTGAGCAAGCATGGAGCAGCATCCTTTCCTGAAGAAGGGCGGGAATGAGCGGCGCCGCTTAGAGACACCTGTCCCAGAGGCGGAGGATGATTTCTTCGATAATGAGCGTCACTTGGTGGGGGTCTTTGACTTTGACTACGTTGCTCATCTGGAAAAAAAAAGGGCCCCACTTTGGTGCTTGTCAGCCTGCGCAATCTTGAAATGTTCATTGAAATTCCACATTAAACAGTTCAAACATGTTCAACCGTGTTTTCACTGGTGTGGGGTCGAGACAGGCATGCGAGGGTCTGTGTTTTGTCGATGCTTTGATATGCGAACGGACATTCTTGGACTCTAAGGATGAGATTGAGGACTTTGAGACCAAGGTAGCATGGGTTTCTTTGCTCTCCATTCCATGCATTTGGCCCCTCTCACTTGCTTGCTGTGGCCCATGTTTCTTGCAACAGAATGTGGAATGGAGGACAAGAGCGCAGCACGTTGCCCTCACGGAAGATGGCATCAAGTATGTCACCGACAGGCATCCAACAATGTGCGGCTTGTCCTGCACCGATGCAGGGAAAGTGTCGAAGACCGTGCCATACGACAAGATTACAGATTGTGATGTGCATGAACCTGCTGGCATGGCTTGCTGCTGCATCCAGAAAACATTGACCAGCTTGATTGTCGACACGGCTTCTTCTGGTCCTGAATCACATGAGCTGGTTTTGACTGGCTTACATGACCCCCACGCTCTGAAGCAAGCGGTTTGGGAAATGAAACGCCAGGGAACCGGAGCTCCGTCAATGCCTCAGTCAGGTGCAAATGAGACCAACCAGTTACTTCGAGAGATCCGTGATGAGATGAGGCTGCTAAACCAACACTTACAGGGCCAATGATTTGATGGATATACTGTAATATCAATGACTCTCTCCTGGGGTGAATGCTCAGTGCTGAGCAGGGATGCAAAGATCATTTTGACCTCAGCTGCAGACGAAAAAAACACCAAATCCGAGACGTGTGCCGAAATCATGCGGATAGTTGTTTGGTTGCTGATGTGCTTGTGCCTTGCCACTGATCGGATTGCAACATCGTGATGTTTAGCCATGCTGCTTTGCGCGAGCTTCGTGAGGACGTGTTGCATAATCTCAGCAAGAACGTCAAATTAAATCACTCCCGCAGATCTATGAATCCATGTTTGTACTCGACTGCTTTCACCTCTAACATGTGTCCCCTTCGTTCGGGGGAAGGGGGGGGGCAGTGATTTCGATTTCGGCGAGCCCAAAGATTTGTGTTTGAAGATTTCTTGCTTTGAAGCTCTAGTCATTGATCTGCATTGATCCTCAGTAATCAGCGACATCGGAACTGGAAGTTCACCTCTAAGGCCCCAAATCGCATGATCGAGGCCTGTGAATGTCCCCAGTGACAGTTCATACAGCACTGTAGGAATGAGCATCCCTGCAATTGCTTGCATGTTGCTTTCAGCTTTAGCCTCAAAGTATTGTTGTGGCTCTGACAAGATTGCATTTTTGAAAGTGCTGGAGCCATCATGAGGTATAGTTTGTCGGTCAAGCTTGCAGGTGGCAGCAAGTAATTTGCTGGACTGGAAGGGTTCAAAAGCTGGCTTTGCTGCGCTTTGCACATGTCAGGCTCCCTTGTCAGGGTGTCGCCAGTCAGATGGTTCATGGCGAAGCGTTGTTGATGAGAATGGCAGGAGAGTTTGATCCGATTGAAAGTTGAGAGTGAACACAGATTGGGTGTGCATTCCACGGACCTTTGGGAATATCAAAAATATACTAAACTCATTGGTCCGAAGGTCTCCCTATTGAAACACATATGGAAGAACATGTAAAAATGTTTGTTCAGGTGAGTTTTGGAGTTAGCAGCCAGTCGCATACGGGCCAGGACTGCGAAGACGGAGATTCGACAGGCGGAGATTCTGCAGTTCCCAAGCAATCAGATTGATGGCGGTGTGCCTTTCTCCTTGTGATTGATTGTCATGTTGCAAAGTAACTACATGTACTAGGGGCGTAGCGCGCAGCTTGCATGACTTCAATTCCCCCTCATTCACTTTGTAAGCCTTTGTAGAGTAGCCCCTGGGTAGGTTTCTAGATTGGTAGATTTGTCATCAGCAGCCAACCGGGTTTGGCAGAGCTCCACCGGGCGGTGTTTGTTACAGAATCGGTGGACATAGCAGGTTTATTACAGTAAAACTGGCTGGTGTCGATTCAGCCAATGTTGTGGTCAAGGTGATTCATCTTCAAGGGCCAGACGAGGAACATGTGAGTTTGGTGGAGGCATTTCGCTTGCCGTCTGACAAGTTGGTGTTTGTTTCGGGATCGCGCCATGACGGTTCAGCCTGGCCTTGGGCCGCTGGGCCGCTGGTTCTTTCATGAACACATTCAGGGGTATGAGGACGTCAATCACCAGGGTGCGCAGATCGGCGCTAGCTGATTTAATACGTTTCAATGTTGAGCATGCAGAGAGATACGGAGAGATACGACTTTGCTACCAGCTCGAGCAGCACACTGCTGCCAAGTTGCTCAAGTCCGGTCACTCTTCTCCTTGTCACTTTGGACGAGGGCCAGGTGACCACATGGCAGCTAAACTGCAAGTCAAAGTGTGAGTGACTGAGTGAGCATGGTGATTGCCACAGGGTAGTGTCGCCACATATCGAAGGTCGGCAACGTGGTTGTACGTTCGCTACACATGTTCTTGCATGCTTTGCATGATGAACGGCTCCTGGGAGCCGCCAAGGGCCTTTCTTGATTTTCTTGTCGGCTCGTTTGTTGCCGGAAAGCTCCACTGGAAGCGCCACGAGGCGTCGCCGGCGCCAAGCATCCGCTACTCGGATGTGGCGCGTTATGTGGGCTTGCCACTCGTCTGATTCATGATTTGCGCCAAGCCATGGAATAGGGTCAGTGCATTTCCTGTTGGTTGGCATGGCCAGCTTCCGTATCAAATCGCTCTTGAAAGCACTGAATTGTAAATTATAAATATATACGATCATATACTTGTGACGTCCTTCGAAAAAGATTTTGCCCGTCGACCCCAAGCCTCAAGTGAAGACACTCTTGAAGATGCTGATATGTTTTGAGGTCCCTCATGAAAGAGTCCGCCCAGCGACCAAAGTCTCAAGTAAAGCTGCACCCATTGAAAGAGCAGGAGGGAGAGGGAGGGACAGACAGAGAGAGAGAGAGAGATAGTGAGCGAGAGAGTGAGAATGACAATCATGGAGTGCTCAACAGTCACGCAAGCCATCAAGTGGATACATGACCTGTTCTTTCTTCCGGTGGCAGAATTTCACTCGCTGTTCCATGCTTCGGAGCTGTTCGATGCGGCAGTCAAGCCCCACCTCATGGATCCTCATGGCGCATTTGTGTACTTGCAATTCTTTAGTGTCCGCACTCGTAAGTTTATGTTAACCACTTAGCATATCTCTGATGGTTTTCAAGATTCTCAGAGTTAGCCACATAATCGTAAGTTCTCTTGTTCGGGACGTGGCAGCCCCCCAAGTTGCAGGAGTTGGCTGCACAGGCTCAAGCTTTATCGCGCCTTTCCATCACAAAGGATGATGAACACGTCGTCCCTTGGCAAGCTTCCTGTTGAACATGCTGGGTTTCACTTCAGATGTCAGCCTGGCAGCAGTGATTTTCGCAGGTTAGAATGGACGAAGCAAATACACTTACCTAGTGCTGGACAGTGGATGAGTCGCCTGATGTACTGATCGCTGAGGACAAGATCAAAGTGCAATTGTCCTGGTTGAAAGCTCAACACAGAGCAGAGAAGGCATCTCACTGCAAGTAATTCGGTTAGAGTTGCTGGAAAATTGTTTGTTTGACTGTTTTGTTCTCCCTAATCTTTTTCAGGAAGATGCTTTCTATTAGATTGGGCTTGGGGATCGCAGGATTGCTCTTGAGTAGGCGTGTCTATTAACAGAACAACGACTTGATGCCTTTAGGCAAGTTCAATTTCCAGCGGACCATGTTTGCAACAAGAAACGGCATGAAAGTAAAACTGAACAATTTGTTTGTACGCAATGGCCTCATGGCAGACAAGTGGAATTTCATAGGAGCGTCCAAGAGCATAGTCTTGGACAACCTGTGGCCACATCATAAATAATTTGTACAACTACGTAACGGACACTCCTGGCAGTGCAGTTTTCTCTCACATTTGGGTTAGTTTTGAGGTGATATTTGGCTGCACTGCTTGGCATTCCTGGGGGGCACTGTGCAAAAACCTTCAGACAGTAATGTGTTTGTTCAAAACATATGTTCAGAAGTCTGTCCCTCAGGGTAAGGTTAGTCAAGGCTAAGGCAAGAGACAATGTATGATAGAGGAGGGTTGTTGACAAGGTAGGGTACTTGTATGTAGGCAGGTTCCATGAAGGATGACGTGTGAAGGCATTCAACAAATACCCTTTGAATAGACATGCCGCTGCCCAATCGAATTGCTAGAAGGAAAGATACTGTAATGTTGTGAAAGAGATGCTTTATTACAGTAGGCACGAGTTTAGGCAGGATTTGCTTCATCTACAAAATTAAGGAACATCATGCAAGATTTTGCACATGTTGCAACTGCTTGCTTTCTATAATTGTGTATATGTGGTGTGTGTGTGTATCAGCCACTTTTGGAACGTTAGTTTCGTCATCAGGAGGAGCTCCGTCGACTAGAAAGCTGCCTGTCAGACTCAATGCTGCTGGAAAAGAAGGCCTTCGGGGATGAGCAACATATTGTGAAGAGACTTGCAGTGAGATATTTATAATGTTATTTGAGGTCTGATGCATCCTCCTTAGACTCCCAGAATTTTTGTTGTTGGATCTTAGGCAAGCCACGTCGCATGTTGAGACTGTCGGGATTGTATCCTGCCATCCTTGTTTGGAGCAACACGCCTCACTTGCAAGCTGTCATTCTTGCTCAAAGAAGGAAGATTGACAGTGGCCTTGCTGATTTGCTTGACCCGAGTCATGGCCAAAGACGTTGATCAACTGCCACGCACACCGGAGGAAGCTTCTCGCACATGCACGGACTTTTGCTGTGTACTGGTTTTCGCAGAGATCTTGGCTGGCGCTGGACTTTGCTGTTCTCATGCTATACAAGATGGCAATTTCCAGCGGCTGCAGTCCCTGCCAGACTTTCAAGGTAGACAATGTTCCTTGGCCTTCAACAACAAGTTTTGTCGTTTGGATGTGGATGCACCTTGAATTGTATTGGTTTACTTCGCTTGGGCCTGTCCTTAGTGAGGCTTGGATAAGTTTGTGTTCTTCCCATTGCGAAATGGTGATCTTGACCTCCATAGACACGTTTGTGTTGAAACATGTCCGACATCGAGCGACAGCACCGTAACAACATACTTAAAGCCAGACACCTCCATTCGGCGTCTTGGTACCCTGCTTGCTGCCATTCCAATGGGTGATGCTGCTCCAGAAACAAACAGCTTGCTTAGGCCACCAGGCCAGGCATTGCCCTCACCAGATGTGCCAATTGCAGTCCAAGAGACTTTTGCAACATCACTTCCTCCGAATGCTGACTTGCCTCTAACAGACGTGCCAAATGCACCCCAAAACACCCAGACGGCAGCGTCAGTTGATCCTAAAACTGACTTGCGGCCACCAGATGTGCCAAATGCTGCCCCAAACACACAGACTGCCGCAATATCAGTCAGTCCCAAAACAGACTCGCCGCCACCAGATGTTTCAAACGCAGCCAAAAACACCCAGACTGCAGCAACATCAGTTGATCCCAGAACGGACTTGCAGCCACCAGATGTGCCAAAGGCAGCGCAAAACACCCAGACTGCAGCAACATCAGTTGATCTCAAAACAGACTCGCCCCCCACAACATGTGCCAAATGCAGCCAAGCAAGACCAGACTGCAGCAACATCAGTTACTCCTCAAGGAGGCCTGCCTCCAGATGTGCCAAAATCAGCTCAACATAGTGAGACTGTAGCAAAATTGTTGGGTCCATCCATTGCAGCGACCACAATGCTGCCAGGGCTGGATTCTTCTGCCATTCCTGTGGCAGAGATGACGGAACCCGAGTTGCAGGAGGTGTCATTTGCAGGGTACCGATCCTTTCCGGTTGCAGGTATTCTTTGCATGCCAGATGGTGCTTCAGAGGAAGTTGTAGACCTGGCACACCGGAATTGGGCTTTACTGTTAGTTCTGCAAGTATCTGATTTGTGGCACCACAAGGAGCTGCTTTTGGTCGCGACAGTGTTGTCCGTTATCCTTGTTTTGGTATTCCTATGTGCTGTAGAGACGTGCGCGGTTTTGCTTACTAATGCAGCTATATCCGCCCTAGTCATCATTCCTGGACTTTTTGGAGGCTTGCTCCTGCACAAGGAGCAGCAGGGACAAATGCCTCAAGCTGCTGAAGACTTGGGAGTTGCCAGCTATTTGGGCATCGTGAATGGGCATGGTTTGATCATCGGCATTGCTGGAGTAGCTGCATCTTGCATTGTTTTGGCATGTGCATGTTTCCAATGTGGCAAATGCGCTGAAGCGGCTACTGCCGTGCAAGAGGCTGCTGATTGTTTGATGACGATGCCTTCTCTTTTGCTGGAACCTCTAGTCTCCTTGCTGGCGAAGCTTCCCATTGGCGCCGCTGGATGCATGGTTTTCCTGATGTTAATCACTTCAGGTGACTATGGGGTCTCTGTGGACTTAACGCAGCCACAATCCTTGTTCCACCCGAGCTTTCTGTCTTCAGCCAGTGCTGTCTATTTTCTGTTTGCGTGGCTGGTCACGATGGAAGTCCTTCACTACATTTCGGTTTTCATTGTGATATATGTTGCTGAAGTATGGTTCTTCAAGCACTACAAGTGTGCCAAACGTGGTGGCTTTTGTGAAATGTGCGGGTCAACATTGATACTAAAAGGAACAGCGGCTGCCATGAAACATTTAGGCTCTCTGATTTACGCATCAATTTTGATGGCAATTCTGCGCCCCATTCGCTGGGTCATGAAGGCGTTTTTGGCTGCAGAAGAAGTGGCTAGCTACAACGATGGTGCGGCCTGCATTTTGGCCGCGGCAACATGGTTTGTCGACTCGTTCTTGGAGGTAATACAGCATCTTTGCTTTGACAAAAACCCTTTTGATTTGTTTGCAGGTATTGTCAGGCCTATCGGCTATCGGACTATTTTGTATACACGTTCATCACCAGTTTGCACGGCATAATGAAATTCATCAGGCCTCGTGGTGGAATGACTATGCACGTAAGGACAACTCTAGACTGTTTGTTTGATAGTCCGGGCCCGCCCGGAGGCCACCGCGGGCCGGGCCAATGCGGGTCGGTCCGGGCGGTCCGGGCCGGCCCACTGCTGTCCTTCCATTTGTATAGGCCCTTTGTGGAATCCACCAAACCACACCTCAAATCGGTTGCCGGGTACACCGCCCCGGCGTGGCGTAAGGAGACCACCTGACGCAGTGGGCCAAGAAAGAATCTATGCATCAAGATGTGCCGACAAACACGTCATAGAGGATGGATCGGCAGGTTTTTTTAGTCTGTGCGAATAAACCGTGTTCTAATATTGTCGGTCTACGGAGCTGTACTTGGGGTTTAGTTTTGACTAAACCCTTTTTGGTCGAGTAAGGGCCCTCACTCGATCACAAAGGGTATTACATCCTGATCCAAACCCCACACCCAAGGGTATGAATATCAATCGACCAAAAAGGGTTTAATCAAAACTAAACCCCCAATACAGCTCCGTAGACCGACAACAGTAGAAAGGTGTTTGTTCGCACAGACAAAAAACACTTTGCCGATCCCTCCCCTAACATATTTGTGGAGACATTTTGATGCATAGATTCTTCCTTTGCCCACTGCGTCAGCTGGCCTCCTGACGGCTGTGCCTGGGAAGGGAGTTCGCACGGGCCGGGCCGGGCCGGGCCTCGGGCCGGGCCGGGGTCAACGGTAGACCCGCTATCCATGTTTATGAACTGAGATGCCGTTTAAATATTCAAAACACTGTTTTGCTTTAAATTGCTGTCACCGGGCGCGTTTCTCACTTGCAAATACTGGGCCAGGAGAATCTTGGAATTGACAAGCCAGGTGGCATTCATGCATATGGCGACCGATGGAACAGAGGGGTATTGTGAGTCAACCTCCTATGCCTGTGAAGTCATCTTCAACAAGGCTGGGAAATGGACAGCGGTTGAGGGTGTTGGCACGATGTTTGTTGCTCTGGGAGTTGGCAGTATAGCAGCTGGGACTGGCTTCTTGGTGTGGCTGCTGACGAAGACTCTGGACCGATACACAGATGTTGACAGCGGTCAGTGTGATGCCTTGGAGTTCGGCAAACCTTTAGTTTTTTCTTGGAGAGCCAGATGAGAGTCAGAGGTAGATCATGTTCCCCTCCTTTTTGTTTGCATGCTTGGTCATATGTTTTGGATTTTGTTGATGTCCAGGTCAAATTTTGCTCAGCTCATTTGTTTGTCATTTGTCGTGAGGTATGTTTCAGACCCTGACAGCATGGCCTTGGCTAGCGGACTCATCGGTTTGGTAATGTCGCTTTGCTTTTTGCACCATTTTCAGACCATCACTGACACCATCGTCTATTGTCGAGGTCTTGTAGCGCACCGTGATGGGGTGGAAAAAGATGTCGATGAACACTATTCACACTGTTGGGATTGCTGTTGCAGAGATGAATCACATGAAACGGAGCGCCTTCTGAAAAAGTGAGGTGCTATGATGCGCCGTTTGCGGCTGCTCTTGATTTAGCAGGAGGGTTTGTTTCTGACGCCCAGTCAACCGTCAACCCTTCAACAAGAACAGCCGGGGTGTTTCTCACAGCGGTTTCGCCTCACCAACGTGCCACATCCTGCGCATGACAGACAAAGTGCTGTGTGTAATATAACGGTTGCTTGCAAAGGCGAGGTTTCACCTGTCGAAAAGAAGTCGACATCCGCATGAAACCTGGACCTTCAGGAACAGCTTCTTTCCACCTATACAACGTTTCTTTTTGCAAAAGCAGGGGTACTATTCACACGGCTTGCCGTGAACACCTGAAGCATGTCTTTTCCTTCAACTTCAGATCAACCTGTTCAGGTAACCATTTTGGGCAGCCAGCCAACAGTTGATAAATGAAGCTACTTGCACACATCGGTGCATGTGATTATGTTCCTTCATAGCGGGAGATTGGCGAGTGTTGACATACAGAAGGGCCTTTGGCCTTTGACTTGTTTTGTTGGAAATGGACCTGATATGCAGCTATTCAGTGGCACTGGAAAGTCGGAGGAATACGCTAGCACATTTTGTTGCTGAAACATGTTTGCCATGGCATTGAGATTTAGTCCGAAAGCTCCTGCTGCTGTTTGTTCATTGACGAAATGCATTTTCGCAAGCCCCTTTTGCTCAGGCGCAGCGACGTGCTATGAAAGACCGGGAGAAGTTTGAGTTTCACCAGAATCATGCGGTGGGGTGGGAGGGTTCCATGGCGCTTGTGGGAAGAGTTTCCTCGGTCCTGCTGCGAATGCAGCGGTGCTGGTCATTTTGGGTTGCGAAAGCGTCCACAAACTTCATTACACCGGGCATGATTTGCGAAAGTACATGAGCAACGGCTTTTATTTGCGGTAGTGAAGATTAGTCTAGGGGCGTTCCTTTTCTATAGCCCAATGTCAGATTTAGTTGGCGAAACGAGGTAGGAACACCCCGAGAACGAGATGGGCATCAAATGCGCCATTTGTTTGAAATGGTTTGGTTAATTAATGACATGTTTAGCTTGTGAAACGAGGTAGGAACACCTCTCGAGAACGAGATGGGTATCCACACACCAAAACGAGATACAGGAATGGAGAACGAGATCACACACCAAAAAACGATGCGGGATTGGAGAACGAGGTAAGGAAGGTCCATGTGATAGTTTAACGGAAATAGATTCCATCACTCACATGGCGATATATATATATATGTATCTGTATATAAGTAACATTCATTCTATTTGGATGGAAATTCAAGGTAAGTAGATGATGAGATGCATGATGCATGCATGAATGCATGGGGCTGGGAAGTCCATAGAGGCTGGGAAGCCCACCGATGATGATGAGGCTGGGAAGCCACATGGCTGGGAAGCCACATGGCTGGGAAGCCATATGGCTGGGAAGCCACACAGGCTCACAGCCAAGAGACTAAGAGAATGGCATGGCATCACACAAAGTAATTAGAATCAATCACCATGGAATAGGCACATGGTCAATGACCATCACCATCATGTCGCACAGTTCTTTTTGGCCACTGCGGTCGGGTGATTGGGTGATGGATGGCCCCAGCCACGTCCTAAGAGCATACTGTGAGACTCAGAGCCTTGTGTGATGCATTTGTCTTTTTATTTGTCGGATTGGATTTGAATCTTGGACCATCTTGGACCATGCTCTGTGTTCCTTATAAGGCTTCCCAGCCAAGAGGCTTCCCAGCCACACATTTAAGAGGCCTCTCAGCCTGACGCCTAACGCGCCTAAGGCCTCACTCCTTCTTCACGCAAGAACCAGGCTCGGCGCCTGCAGCCGGTCAGGGTCACGTGAGTGGAGTGGGAACCTCTGGGTCTCTGGACTGTTCTGGAGTAGGGGTGAGGGTTGTTGGCTGCATTGCCACTTATACGAATGAAAGTAACAGCAACTCGCACAAAGTGGGTAGCCCTTTTTTTTCAACTCTGCCACGTGTTGCGAGTTAGTAGACTTTGCCCTTACGGCCAGCGAGAATTTGAGCGCGAAGCTCACTCTGCAGCCAAGCCTTCTCGGCTTCCTTTTTGGCCTTCCCAGGCTCAGATTCAGAGGCATGCCATTCATGCCATTGGCACAGGAACTTGGAACGAACTTTCCGCATATCACCATCCACCGCCATGTCCATCAACTCCTGGCTGGGCTTGAAGTCATCCTTTGCCTTGCTATCATGATCACCTTCAGGAAGATTCACATCCTTTGCGTCACCCCCATCATCGCCTGCAGGAAGCGCTGCGAGCTCCACATTGCTTGCCTCACCCTGGTCATCACCTGCAGACTTTGGAACACCTTTGCTCGCCCACTTCTGGTGCCAAAGCTTGCTCTTTTCCTTGTTCGCCTCCCGACGCCTCACCAGCTCTGCTTCCTTGCTGTTTGGTGTCATGTCCTTCAACAGCTTCCTTTTTTTCTTGGGTTGACCACCTTCACCTTCCAATGGTGGAGGTGGAGCCTCCAGCGATGCACCTGATCCATTGTTGATTGGCTCCTTTGCCTCAGACTTCTTGGTGGGCTCTGGTTTTTTTGGGTTCAAGCTTCGGCTCCACGGGCTGTGGCTTCGGGTCAAACTTCAGCTCCTCGGTGGCCTTTGGCTCTGTGGGCTCAAGCTCTTTGGGTGGCTCCAAGGGATGTGGCTGTGGCTTCGGGTCAAGCTGCAGCTCGTGAGTGGCCTTTAGCTGACTGGGCTCAAGCTTCTTCTCGTTGGGCGTTGGCTCTGGGTCCATCTGCAGCTCCTCAATGATCGGCTCAATCTGGGAATCATGGCTGCCATCATTCACCTCGGATATCATGGGTTCATATGGATCAGATTTGGGTAGTGCACCATCCTCAGGCAGTTCCGGAAAGAGGCTTCGCCGAGCTGCGCCGTATTGTTTCTGCCTCTCCTCCCAGGGTGATGATGTATTGAAGAAACATAAAGGAAATAGTTATATTACACAATCCATAGAAAAATATTTCACCTCCCAATCCTCAGGCGTAGGTGTCCAGGTCTTCTTGGCATTGTTTGGAGCAGGCGTGTGGTAAGATTCTTCACTCATCGGCTCAACAGGCTGTGCCAGCTGGGCTCCATAAGAAAATGTTGGAGCGTGATTGCTCAAAATCGGCACAATGGCATCCGCAGCGATGGAATGGAACTCTTGTCCTCCATGCGGTGTAGGTTCTGCGAACTCCACTTCATCTTCCACCCACTCAGGTTCCATGGGCTTAGCGTCCCCGCTCTGAAAATATACGTGAACAGTGTTCAACCTGTATATGAACCAAAAAGCTCACCAAAACCTCCGATCCACTTGTGATATGACATGTCCACAAATATCAGACGAGCAATAACTTCGAATTCGCGAGATGACATATCCACAGTTTAAATTAATTGTGTCATTAAGCCAGTAATTTCAATACAGGTGGCACAAAGTATGACGTGATTTGCTGTTTAAGTCTAAGTCGACGAGTCTGAGTCAGTCTAAGTCTCTGATTGGTGTTTGTCATCCTCGATCCAATCGCAAGGTGCGCTGCCGCCACTGGAGTCTAAGGGAAGCGCGGGGTTCCCAGCTCCAGCTGTGAGAAATGAACTCAAAATTCAAAAAGCAACCGTGACTCGCACGTAGCCAGTGTGATGCTGCTGGCAGGATTCCTTTTACTAAAGAAGTGAACACACCAAAGATGAATACTACACAGAGTCTTTTAGTTGATCATGATTCATTGATATTCACAAGACCTACCATGAAGAAGAGTGAAGATGACCCCGCCATGATGCAGCAGCTAGCTCACACCACCCTTTGCACGGTTCCCTTTGCCATGTCCAACGTGTGGCTGAGGAACCACATTGGCTTTGCTGCGCCGAGAGTCTTCTCAGGCCGATACGGTCGAACGCGCCATACCTGGTGAGGAGGGCATCAGAAACTGAATGGTTGGGAAACCACAAACGGTTGGGAAACCACAAATGGCTGGGAAGCCAGAAAGACTGGGAAGTGAGAATGACTGGGAAAGTCTGCATGGCTGGGGAAGTCTCTAATGAACACTAGTGGAATTTTGCTAGCCCTCGCCTTCCTCAGCCCTGGCGAAGCTTCCAAGAGGTTGGATAAGAAAAAGCTCGCAGCGTTGGTCGCCCGCAAGCCCGTGACCTGTAGGTTGTTTGGCCGCCAAACCATGCAGCTGCCTGCCTTCGTGGCAATGTCAAACCTGGGGTGCATTTCAATCAAAACACATGCAAAATAATTAGTTGCCATTGACAAAAAACACAAGCAAATTTCACATGTGAAAGAGATTGCAGGCTTAGGACAAGGAACTTGTCGGCAGACAACCCTTGAACCACTGACGCTGGCCTCGAAAAAGTGTGGCCTCCAATCTCAAAGTCGACCATCCCGGACGTCTCACAGTGCTGAATCACACTGCGGAGTGTTTTCAGATCCGAATCATGACCACTTTCCTGCAGTGATAATTAACCACTGTTGTTGTTGAACACCTTTTAACTGAGTACACATCGACCCACAGACAGAATGAATTAAGACTAGAGCTCAATTTCACAAAGAACCATGGGCCGGTTTCAAACACACTCCTCAAGCACAACAGGGTCCAAGTCAGAGCTGAACTTGCACACCACACCTTTGTGACCGTGCTCCGCGTTGTCAGACAGAAAGGCCTCGGCCTTGTTGTCCAGAAGCCATGCCCCAGCCCCGTATGTCAGGAACGGATCAGTGGCACCCAGTGTGTAGGCCTCATTTGCTTCAATGAACAGCTTGAACTTCTTGGGTGCGTCGGGGTCCGCCACAGATGAATCAACACCTTCCTTGACGATGTAAGCAGTCAGCTCTGGGCACCACGTGAACTTGCCAAAAATCAGCGAATCATACTTGGCGTGCCACTCCTCTGCACCCTGAGGCTCATCAAAGGCACCGGGCCAATCAAAAGAAGTCTTCTCCTGAGCACTGCCATCATCGCCTTCAGAGACAGCCTTGGGCTCTTCTGGTGTGGCTGCTGTCCCGAAGCACCGATCGAACTCTTGAAGCATCCTGCGCCATTCGGGGCCCCTGATTGCGTCTGTGAGGAACTCAGCCCTGATGTTGCGAGGAAGACACAAGCAGCCATCGACCAAAGAACAAACCTTCAAGCTGGGCTCTTGTGGGTCGGATGGCAGCACTTCTGGGTTCGGCTCAGGGACATAGCGAGGCAAGGCATTTTCCATCGCTCCCTCATGTTCCTTCCAGAGGTCCAGGAGAAAGCTCTTCGTGATCTTCAAAGACGTGACGAAGTGGGGCTGCTTCTCCGACTGGGATACGCATGGAAGACCCTTCTTCACGCAGGTCTTCTCGAGGCATCCATCGAACGTGGCCGCATTGACAACCATCACTGGCTTGATCTCATTGCCAGTGCCTCACCGTGGTGTGATGCCCAGGGCAAATCAAGAGTAAGTGGAAAGCCTGAACACAAAACAGGTCGTTGTGCAATGACATCTTGAACACCAAAATATTTTAATAATAACAAGTGGCTGTTCAGCAAGTCACTCAGGATCTGTTCAGGGATGTGGTCCCCTCCAAGCCACTGGGCAGTTTCTTGCGCGTCAGTGTAGTTCCGCCGGCCCTCCGCGCTGGACGCAACAACGTTTTGGCCCGGAACCACAAACTGACTCTCGTCAAGAGGGCAGCAGCTGCTGGACACCACTTGGTTCTGCCACAATTTCGAGAAGCAAAAGACATTGACGTCAGCTTTCTCAACCTTTGGCTGTGATGCGTTGGCATGTCCAGGTGTCTAATTGAAATCTTTCAAAACAGGATTTTAGTAAGTAGACTTATTGCATCCTTTCACAACCATCGCCTTGCCAGTGCCTCTGCTGGCCCTGTGCGCAGTGCCCTGGGACGGAAGGCACATGTCAGCGACGCAGAGGTAGAAGAGAAAACCGCCAGGCATTGACCGGTTGTGATGCAATGCATTGAGGTCCACGGGCACAAAGAATTGGCGAAACTCAATCTTGTAATCGTTCAGCTTATCCTCAAGCTTCCTCGGAAAAACATCCGCAACCATCACACAAAAACCATTATAGATTGTTATATTTATGTCATGAACAAATCAGGCCAAAACAAAGATGCAAAAGTCGGAGATTGAAAATAATACACAAAGTGGAGTTTCCGAACATCAGCGCGAAGGGCTCCACATCCCAGAGCTGACGCCAAAAGTGGAAGAGCCATCACAACACATGTGCCTCAATCGCCAAAAGATTGGAATTTAGATTGTATTAATTTAATGTCATCATGACATTGAAT